TGTCATCGGGTTCTGATGGGACATGTTGCTATGGTGGTCTTGAGCCTAAGCACACAGGGCCCTCTGGACAGTGCTACAACCATGAATGGCCACTGGGCTTCTCCTTTTGGGGGACTACCTTTAGCTCCACGTGGTCTTTGATGGCTGCTGATGCTGTGAGTGATGCAGCCAGCTGTAGGAATTCCTGACCAGTGGGAACCTTTCTGCTGCTATGATGTAGAGAAGAGGGCCTTCTCCATCATTTCCTGGGTTCTGAACACTTCCAAAGGGTCTCCAGCGAGTTTCAGGCTGCTCAGAGTTTGTGCAAAGTGGTCAAAGTGGTGTGTGAGTGTGAGTGTGAGTGTGTGTGCTCCAGTGCTGGGGGCAGCGTCGACAACACTAATCACATGCTAAGTGTTGTCTGTGACCCCATGTCTCCCAGCCATGCTGCCTGCCCCTCGTTGCTCATCTGATATGATAGCAGCCCTAGTCTTATTTTATTTTATTTATTTACTAGAGGCCTGGTGTATGAAATCTGTGTACGCGGGGAGGGGAAGGAATGCAGGGCGGCGGGGGTTGGGGGGGTCCCTCAGCCCGGCCTGCACCCTCTTGCAATCCGAGACTGCTGGTTCCTAACCACTCACCTGCCTACCGGATCACCCCTAACCACTTGCCTGCCTGCCTGATCACCCCTAACCACTCTGCCTGCCTGCCTGATCACCCCTAACTGCCTCTGCCTTGGCCCCCACTGCAGCAGCTTCATCCAGAAGGACTTTGGAATGATGTCCAGAAGGTTGTTCGACTGTCCCGTCTAATTAGTGTGTTACGCTTTTATTATTATAGATTTTTGCAGCCCTGGTCTTGAAGGGTACACTGGAATCACTCATCCGGGGCTCAGTAGTTAACTCTCTGGGAAACCCCCAGGACTTGGAGACTATCTGCCCCTGCACTGCCAGAAACCTCCCCGTGCCTAGAGCTATGCCTAGAGCTATGTTTACATGTGCAGTTCCTGGGAAGGCAGGCTGAGGGAGGCTTTGAGAGGGCCTAACTCCCAGTTTCCAAGGCCAGTCTCATGGGGCTGGGGGGCAGGGCAGAGAAAATCTGGGGGAAGGTCTTGCTTCCAGTTGTGACTAAATGGAGATAATCCCACCCAACGTTCTTGAGTGCTGACCACATGCCAGCCCTGTGCTAATCCTCACACTCCATCTCATTGCATTCGCACCATAGTGGTAACAGTGGTTAGCACATTCTACGGGACAGAGGGGCTGGGTCTCTTCCCATTCCCACAGCTCACCAGCACCCTTTCTGGGTCCTGGGGCTTTGTACTTACCCCCTCCCAGTGCTTCTCAAAGTGTGATTCTGGGGCTCTCAGAAAGGCATCTGTGGCCTCAAGTGAATCAGTCCCTGAGATGAGGCCCAGGAGCCAGCGTTTTAGCCTGTGAGGCCCACATTTCTAGGCCCCCCTGCAAGTTCCTGATGAAGTAACTTCCAGCTAAGGAGCTGGTCAGAGGAGGGAGCGAGCAGGGAAGGTGATCCCTGCTGGGTTTACATGTGTCCAGTTTGTGGGAGCAGGAGGAGGCCGGGGAACCAGCATTCATGGCTCTTCCCTGTCGACAGCTCCCTCCTTCCCTGTGGACATCCTGCAATCAGGTGAGAGGGACCTGGGGGACATCTGAGTGGAAGGGTATTGAGGGTGAGAGGACTTAGTGAGGGGGCCCAGGAAGGCAAGTGGGAGCCAGGGAGGTCCAACATCAGGTCAGACTTGTGTACTTTTTCAGAAGGAAGGACCTGTAGAAGGAGCAGAATGACTGTGTTGGGGGTTCAGGAAAACTGGGCTGTGGGAACAGGGACTGGAGGGAGAAGGGAGGTTCCTGCAGTCGTCCTGGGGGGCTGAGGACCTCCAGGGAGAAGGGTGGAGACTGC